ATTATATTTGACAAACATAATTTTCATTTTCTACTTGAGTTTCTTGACCCTTTAGAAGAGATTGCAGAACTGTAGTTGAAAAGACAGTAGCTCATCCTGCTCTGTGGTATTTGAGTTTGCAGACTGATTAAACTGGGAAAGAATTCCTTCTCTCATACTGGTATGCATGGAAGAAATCTCAGCTCATATCCACAGTGCGTCACTCTGGAATCTTCTTTGTTGTGTCTTCATTTCAGAATGTTAAATCAGATAAAATGTCCAATCAACAAACTTAAATTCAGCCTTAAAACAGCCAGCTGGTCTGTTTTCTCCTCTCAGTGACCTGGTAATAAACGAATGGCTCATTCACTCACGCATTTGTTAATAGTTAGCCACTTATTAGTCATTATGGAAAGTTTTCAGGACAGTGAAATGGATGATGGCCAGTGTGGCTGATGCCTCACAGACTGCTTTGATTACTTCTGGGTAGATGCATGACGATATCAGAAATTTGATCCCAGTACTTCCTAAATTTGAATACCAAATTTAATCAAAGAAAGACTCAAAGTAGACACTACTTAGGAGTGTGCAAGTGAATACATAGTATTACAACATTCAGCCCAAGTAACCTCTTGTGTTATTTTCAAGAAAAAGACTGAAGGAGTAAAAATGGCGCTGTGACAGTATAATGTGAAGCTGGAGCTGGTTGACACACAAATGGTGAATGATTCATTTTAGGATTGTTTAAAAACAACAACCTTTAATAGATCAGCAACACGGTGCACATCTGAGCATCCTGGTTCGTGACCAGATGACCCCCATAGATACATGGATGTAAAGGGGGGACAAAGGTTTACTAAGATTTATTTCAAAGATTTAGTGACATAATTATTTTGCAGATTTAGATTTTTAACATAGTGGCATTAGTATAGTGGCTCTATGGTGTAGTGTTTAACACATTTGCCTTGTACACAAAAGGTTCCTGGTTTGAGAACAAGACACAAACAACTGAGAGTGTTATCTTCTGAGGGCCAAAGAGTGTAAAAAATCAGTCTACGCAAGTGCAGATCGAAGTGCAACCCCTTGTGAATAAAGGAGGAGCCAAAAGCAGTTCTACGTTCCTCACTTTACCCGCCACTTCCCACATGTGGGATTGTGGCATTTTATATTGATATAAAACTTTTTTTGGCATATTTTTTTCTTCATGAAACTCTTGCTGCGATTTTCTTTTTATCCCTGCTGTGCTCTGTGTATATGACTTTGGCACCGTTTTACTCACCATGTCTGCTGCTTCTGTGCTCTGCTTTATTGTTACTTCCTGGTTGTGTGACATGTCGTAATATATGTTGTGAAACAAGTCCACGTCTCAGGTGCTCTATGAGAAATCAGGCGTCACAGTCAGCAGACTGAACTCGCTGTCTGCAGCTCACAGGTGGATGATGTCATGGTTTCTCTGTGTATGTGCGTGAGAATGTAAGTCTGCGAGAGCCATATGTGACGCATAGTGTGTGTGTGTGTGCGGTGTTGCTGGGTGAAAAGCTCTATAGTTAGGTCCCTCCCTCCCCATCTCCAGGTTACCATGGGGACAGGAGGTAACTCTGTGTGTGTGTGTGTGTGTGTGTGTGTGTGTGTGTGTGTGTGTGTGTGTGTGTGTGTGTGTGTGTGTGTGTGTGGGTTAGTGTATAGCTATCATGAGGTGTGAATTGCTAGCTTTTCGTTGCACACTGCAGTGGGATAAACAGCGAAGTGAGCCAGTCAGCCTCAGCCTCTCTCTCTCTCCGTGGCTTGTTTTTTGCCGTTTCCTCCTTCAGTCCCTCCTTCCTCTCTCTCTGGTAGGACAGAGCGTTTCAAGTCATGACGGAGAGCTGAAAGCTGATGAATGAAACTCCTGGAACAACAGGCAAAAAGGCCCCGGGCATCCAGATCAGATCGTTATCTGTGTGTGTGTGTGTGTGTGTGTAATTTTTGCTGTGTCTGTGTTACCTTTATCTGTGTGTGCTCGTTTGTGTTTCAATTTTAGCTGTTAATATCTGTGTTTGCTCTAATTTGTGTTTTGTTTTGACTGGTTGTTTCCTGTCTGATATCAATCAAGATATTCTGCATGGGTTTCCTGAATCATATGAACGAACATGATTTTGGCTTCTTGTTTATGGTTTACCATCATGGGTGTTCTCTGTGTATATAGACTGTATATAAAAGATGGATAACAGGGAGAAGCCTGAATTTTCTCAAAACATCGACCTCTGCTTGTCACAAACCCTCGCTTGTGACATCTGATTATAAAATGCCAAAATGGTGATGATGAAAACAGTCATCTTAAAGCTTTGAAACAGGACTGCGGGAGTCCCTGGGTGATTTCAGAGTAGCTATGTCTGTCTGTTTGTGGGCCTGGTGGGTGTCAACCTGCACGATTTGTAAGGCGTGTGATCTAAAGTATGACATTTTTGTAATGGTCAGCAGAGGATGACATCTCTGATTTGTGAAAGACATGAGATATGAGCCTCCAAACTTTTTTGCCCTTCAGGATAGGGCTGTGCGATATGACAAAAATCTCATATCCCGATATAAGACATTTACTGACAACGATATAAATCACAAAAATGTAATATTTTCTGTAAATTCTGTGAATCTCGGGCAACTCGATTTGCGTGAAGTTTTTCTTCTCATCCGTAAACTCTCTGCATACTCTTTCCCGTGATTCAGTTTATTTTAAAAAGCCTCAGCAGGATCTTGAGCTTTATTGTGAAAGGTTTACGTGGAAAACAAACAAGCGGACTTGTTACCTTGTTTTACACTCATTGTTGCTAACGACAACACGTAAAAACAGGCGCTTGTCCGTCCGTAGTGTGGTTATATTAAATATAAGAGAAAGAGAGAACTTTAAGAAATTAATAAAGCCACTACAGTGACCATCAAAACGATGAAAAAATATTGCTGTAAAGAGTTTATTTTACGACGCCACAAAACAAACGATATACGTTTTTATATCGCCAATATATATCGTTATATCGAACATCCCTCCTTCAGGGGCAAAAAAATCTGTAATCAATGTGCATGGATGCAAATCGGTTGATATTAGAGATGGCACGATACCACTTTTTTATGTCTGATACTGATATCATAAATTTGGATATCTACCGATACCGATATGAATCCGATATAGTGTATTTTTTTAATCAATAAAACAGTTTTTAAAATATTTTGCTGCATTTTGTATAAGTTCATACTCAAGTTTTAAAAAACAAAACAATAAAGCTATTCTGTTATATCTGTATGCAAAAAATACACTGCACCCAAAATATTTCATAGTTCAGCAATACTGATCAATCTAATAAACTTAAGCCTACACCATCCTCCCTATTCTGGTATTTTAAAGAGTACTTAGCGGAAATATTAAACAACCTAACTAATAGGTTAAAAAATAAATACATACATAAATAAATGAATAGGGAACCCCCCCCCCCCCCCTGCTTAATCGACGTAATCTACTTTAATTTAATGCACGTGTAAAATAAGAAATAAATGTTAAAAAAAAATTGCACAGAAATCAATTATTTTTCTACAATAATTAAATAGATTCAACATCTTTCTTCAACAGAATTGCAGACTGCACAGATGGTACCTTCCCAAAGGTAAAAGTACTATAGCTTACTAGGGTATATATTAGACTTAATAGTTACTATATTTAGTAATAGACTTCTATACATTTTACATCAGATTTTTATGTGGTACACGGCGCTCGCTATTTTCCACCTAAACATGATTTCTGAAAAAATTAAAACGTACAGCACTGCTACCACTTCCAACATAAATGAAGACAGAAAACTAAACAGGAGTGTATTTTGTAGGGTTACTGAAGTTGGGCTAGCTGGCATGTAATGATGTGCTTCGTGATCGCTAGCGACACATCTATGTTAGCATAACATAAACACAGTGAAGCTGCAGGATGAACGCTAACTTCTTTCTAGTCAATAAAAGTTAACGCGAAGGTTCCCAATGGTAAGGGACAAATGCAATCGCATTGCAGGATGCTGTAAACGGACCAAACTTCAGTCAGGAGAACAACTGAGATAATCCATCCACATTATGAGGTTAGTCATTAATATACTGCAACAACATAGAATAGAGCAGCTGTGAGAGAATTCAACATTAATGAATCAATGGTACGGAAGTGGAGGAAGCAAGAAGAATGGGTTGAGTAAATTTTGACTTATCTGACTGTTTTGTTTCGCTTAATGTGCCCTATAATCCGGTGCGCCTTATAGTCCAAAAAATATGGTAATACAACATTGTAAAATCTGTGTATTACAAGGAGGTAGACTGCAGCCATCGATGGTGACAGGTGGCTCTGTAACTGTGAGGCTATGTTGTGGTTGGGTGACATGAATAATTAGGTAAACAAAGCAGAATATTTTTTTTGGTGCCGTCTAACCCCACGTTGCTCCAGGGGAGTTCATGTCAAGAGTTTCAGTTTTATGTTCTGGTGAAATTCATTGGACGGGGGTCAGATCATTTTGTGTGTGTTTTTGCTTTCTTTTTGTTTTTTGGATACACCAAGTATTTAGCTTTGTATTGTACATGTTTTTATCAGTTTGAGGCCTGGTCATTTGTAGTGCATTTTTATTTTATATTGGTTGTTTTTGTTGGTGAATAGCAAACAGTGTCCAGGTTCCAGAGGGTGTAGTTGGTAACATGTTAAATCCTACCACTGGTGAAAACAAGGAAATGGTTTATGCAGACATTTCTTTTCCAAAAATATACTATTTAATTGGCTTTGATTACTGATAAATACTTAATATTTGTTTGACAATATGAAAATCATACTACCAAAAGGTTGTGAAATATAATTTCTGCCATTATGAGCCATAGCTTCATATTTCCTGTCATAATTTATTTCTCTCTTTTAATCTGGGGATCTATTTTAACTCGACTCTTCTTCAATTTAGAGTTTTCTGTTCATGTTTGTTTATAAGTGTCAGTTTTCTTCACATGGTTGTGACCTGTTGTTTTGCATGTTTCAGTTCTACCTGCAAGACACTAAAAGCAGCAATGGGACATTCATCAACAGCCAGAGGTTGAGTCGTGGCTCGGAGGAGAGTCCACCCTGTGAGGTCCTCTCCGGCGACATCATCCAGTTTGGCGTCGACGTCACTGAGAACACACGCAAAGGTACAAAGATCACATGTGGAATATGATGACATACAGTGATGTATTATGGGGCAAAGCACATATTTTATGCTTCTCAGTCAGCATACATAATGGACAGAGGATTTTTCCTTACTCTTATAGTTAATAATGCACACATGTCAAGTAATCACACTTGACTAACCTTCAAGGATGGCTCTGGGCTCATTTAGCTTTGGTCATATGAGCTAATGCATACATACACACCAGAGAGCGCATATTAAGGTCAGATTTTCAGCTCTACTTAAGCCATTTTCATACTGGAGTTCCAACAGGCATTAAACTTCTGTCAGAGGTTATGAAAAAAAAGACTGATCTATACCTTTTTACAGATTTTAGAAGATTATATCAAGTTAAATTATATAATAAAAAATATACAGTTTGTTTTACCAGAAGAGACTCATAACTACTTTAATTTATCAGCAATATGAAAATAAGTCACTAGGGTCTAGAAACACGTTTTTGTTTTCACATCCTGGATTTGCGCCAGTGCATGAATGACAAGCCCGGTAGCTTTAGAGAAGTGTGTTCTGGGAACTGTTGTTATGCATTAAAAAAATAAGCAAAACGACAAAAAGCTGTGTCTAAACAAATTTAGTCTCTGTATACTGGAAATAGGATATGTATTTATTCTATTAACACTACCCCTTCACAACAATAGTTGTCTTAAGTTGCTTTGTACTATAAGAACCCCATCAATTATGAGAAAGAGAACACCAACAATCAAATGATCCCCTACAAGAGCGAGGAGGAAGAAATCTCTTTTAACAGGAAGAGACCTCAAACAGAACCAGACTTGGGGAGGGGCAGGATCTTCTGTGGCCAGTTGTGGGGTGAGAGGAGGGAAAAGAGAAAACGGACAAGAATAGAGATGATAGTGGCATGTTATCGTACAGTTAGTGAAAAGACGGGAGTAAAGAAGAAATGCTCAGTGCATCATGGGAAGTCCCCCAGCCACCTGAGTCTGTCGCATAACTAAGGCATGGTTCAGGATGACCTGATCTAAAAATCCCAGTCCCTCCATGTGACTCCCTCTTTTCTGTCCATCTGTGTGCCTCTGCACACAGTCAGCTCACATGCTGATCCAGGCACTACAGCACGTGTGCTTTTATTTAGCTCAAAACAAACCACTTCTTTGTTGTGACACACAGGACACAAGCTTGACCTGGTAGCAGTTACTGTTTATGGCAATATTTTATTTTTTTCACCGTTTTGATGGTCACTGTAGTGGCTATATTAATTTCTTAAAGTTCTCTCTTTCTCTTATATTTAATATAACCACACTATGGACGGACAAGCGCCTGTTTTTGTAAATATGTAAGAAAAATTGTGTCTGTTTCTGTTCTGTGTCCTGTGTACTGTTTGTTGTATGTGTGTCTTTCTGGCTGCTGTTACAACCAAATTTCCCCTTGTGGGACAATTAAAGGATTATTCTATTCTATTCTACACGTTGTCGTTAACAACAGCGACGGCAAAACCATTGCGTGTCTGCTTGTTTATTTTCCACATAAACCTTTCAGAATAAAGCTCAAGATCCTGTTGAGAGTTTTTAAAATAAACTGAATCACGTGAAAGAGTATGCATAGTGTTTACGGATGAGAAGCAAAAAAGAGCCGTCAGGTGCTAAAAAATAAACCTTAGATTCAAACGTTAGAACAGGCTTTTCCCCGCAGCATGCCGTGTAATAAATACTCACAAAGAAAATGGCGGCCATTACAACTTATGTCTAAAAATGTATAGTTTCATGCATTGGTTAAAACATTCGACTCCATGTACGCGACGCCCAGCTGAAAACACTTCACGCAAGTCAAGCTGCCCGAGATTCACAGAATTTTCAGAAAGTGTAACATTTTTGTGATTTATATCGTTATCGGGATGATAGAGGTCTTATATCGGGATATGAGATTTTGGTCATATCGCACAGCCCCAGAAAGAAGCAACATACGCTCAAACACTCTGTCAAACACATGGTGAGTCAGTGCCTATCTGTGGAATAATCTTCAACAGGGCTGAAGGTAGTGGTAATACAACAGCTCTGCAGCTACTGGTGAAAAAATTGCCTTTTACTCGTGAGCTACTGGTGATTACTCTGAACCATACCTAATTATATCAGAAAACCTTCAATAATATGAAATTTGATACCTCATAGGATTTGTTAATATGGGCCAGAAAGGCAGAAATCTTTTCCTTAAAAATTATGAACTTTGACACATAGTCAGCCCGGGATGCATGTTTGACATGGATTCTCTAGAGTCTCTATATTCGCTGATGATCCAGGATTTTGTATATGTAAACATTCTGCTCTGTTTTATTTCGTTTTCTTCATATGAACAATATTGAAGTGTCTTTTCTCTTTTTGTCTGCAGTCACCCATGGCTGCATCGTGTCAACAATCAAACTCTTCCTACCTGATGGGATGGAGGCACGCCGACGAAGCGAGTAAGCACCACTCACATTGATCCATGAAGATTTGTTTATGTAGTAATAACAGACTATATTTTTTAACAAAGCTTTCTACAGTTTCTACACTACACATTCTTCTGAAAAATTGGGATTTATTGCTGCTCATTAAAGCAACAGTATACTGATACAGACTTAACCAGATGTTGTTGCTGATTTAATGGTTGTCTGGTTAAGGTTAAATGCTTTCTCTCTCTCTCACTCACACACACACACACACACACACACACACACACACACACACACACACACACACACACACACACACACACACACACACACACACCCAATTTCTGCTTGTGTAGTGATGTGATTATTATCAGTCTAGTTGACGATGAGGGCAGTTAATGAGCTGAGGATAAGGGTCTGCGAGTGTGTGTTAATAATTCTGGCCTGTGTAATAACCTTTTGAATCAACTGTTCATTTGAGTTTTAGGGTCCCCCCCCCCATTTTTCTTATATTGACTCATGCTGAGTGTTTACATGTGTCTTTGCTTTTCTTTGTGTGTGTTTGTGTTAAATGGGCTGTAGCTGACCAGCCGCTGACCCAGCATGGAACTTCCTACTGTACTCAGAGTCCCACTTGCGTGTCTGTGTGTTTGTAATTGGCTGGACGTGTGCATTAGTGTTACTGGGGCTCAGTGCTGTGTTGGGCAGTGCCATATGCTGCCATGCTGCTCAGCTTCCAGTCTGGTAAACCCATCAGCCACGCTGACCGGAGTCTTGGGTCTGGTTTGTTCATGCTGTCTGTGCTAGAAAACAAAAAGCTGGGTTGCAAAACTAAAGGACACCAAGAATTAGTTGTTAACAGTATGAAAACATTCACAAATAATTCAAACAAGCCCAATCTAATGATCGACTATTGTTCCTAAAAATGTGTGTGTTTGAGATCTATTTGTAACTGTTAATCACGTTCTTCAGGAATCAAACTGTATTTTACATGTTGCTAAAATGTGCGGCACTTTCATGTTGTCACACGTGCAGGACTTTAAGATTAGTTTGCCAAGTCTAGCTAATGTTAGCAGTGCTAGCACTTCCTTCCACACAGAGGACCGGAAAACACTGCTGTGGTCAAGTGGTTTTATTTCAGTTTGCTCTGACACTGAACTTCTTGTCACTGAAAGAGAGGGGCTCCTACCTTGTGCCATGTGGCTACATAACATGTCACCTCTGGTAGTTAACTGGTTTTCTACTTAGTATAATATGAATATTTTGTTTAAGTAACCACGTAGCATTACTACTGACAACTACTGAAATCAAATGTTTAAATCTCTAGATGACAGGCCACACACTTGTCTAATGAATAAAGCTGAGGTCTTGGGATGCATTTAGAGCTTACTTTGACTGTTTATCCAAATTTGGACATTGTGTGATACATTTTTCCCAACCTGGAAAGACGGCTTTTCATTTACAACTGCTTTTTGTCACAAACAAAGCTTCACGAAGTGAAGATTCTGATGCACAACTAGGAAGTGAAATCAATAAGAATTGGAATATAAAAATAACCTGGATGGAATAATCCATTTAGACATTTGTGAGACATCAGATATTAGTTACCAGGATTCTGATTTGAAATTATGAGTAATTTTGCTTTTTGAACAAGTGATCATCAGTCACTTTCTGGTTTCTAGTATGCCTTTGCACAGGAACAAAATCATTTCAGTCTCTGTAATTTTTTCCCCTGTCTCTCTGTCACTGCAGATGTGTGGTATTTTAGTGGTGAGTTGTGATGAATTGTTACGACCCCCTCTGCTAGGCGGCAGGAGGGGAGTAACATACACAAGCCCCCACACGAAAACTGAGTAAAATAAAAAGGCCGTAACAGAATTGTCCTGGTTTATTTTCAGATGTGCAGGTTTGGATTGTAGTTCAGCACAGGTTTAAGAAGTCCATCAATTAACACCAACGGTAGTATTTTATCCACATGGTCAATAATGCATGAAAGTGAATGGTGCTTACCTGAGATCTAAAGAAGCGTCCAACATGTTCTGTGGGGAAACGACTGTAGTCTCTAGTTTGACCTTTGACCTTCAGCATCTGATATTATATTCCCAATATATTGGAATATTACGGGAACAATTACAGCATTTTTTGTCTGTTTGTTGTGTTGGTTTTTGTTTTTTGCCCTTTATCATAGTTCCTCTCCCCCTGCTGTTTTTCTTTCCCTACCTCTCTGTCTCTCTCCCTTTTCTTTCCCCCAGTCATGTCTGTCCCATGTGTAGCAAGTGAAAAGAAAATAAACAATAAAAGCAAAGGTGAATCAAATAGACCAATACGGCAAGGCCGGGATTGTCCATTTGGCAAAGTAAATCCGTTGGGCATCTTTCTTTGCCTTTAGACAATAATTCTGATGGCAAAAGAACCAAACGGGACAGGCAGGAAAGAAAACAAAAACAAAACAAACAATTACGGCATCATAGACTTACAGAGCAATGATGCTACCTTCTGTCTCAGGACCACATTTGACTTTTTTTTTTTACCTCCAACAGGTCAAATTTCACTTTTTTTATTTTTTTACCATTTCCTTTAATCAAACAGCTCTTCTTATTTAACTAACAGTTGGACTCTGTCTCTAGAGTGCTGCTGAAGGGGAGGGATGTCAGAAGATTTATTAATAGCTGAAGAATGTCTCAGCTCCCTGGTATTAGAATTAGCTTTCTGGAGATCTGCCTACAGCTTTATAAAGATGGTTACTGTGTTTGCAATTTTACATTAAACCAAAGCTGGGTCTTTGAAAACTTTGATAGTGACAAATGTCCACAAGAAAGAAATTAATCAAATAGAAGGCAAATTACACTTTTTATATAGCAGCACGTTTAGAACTAAATTTCATTTAAAAAACCCAAAGACCAAAGAAAATGCACAGAAGACGAAAAACGACAGTTTCATAACCATAACTATGCTTCAATTTTATTTTATGAACATCTTTATCTATATAATGAACTCCACTCTCCTTATAACCCTTTAAAGATACTCCCCAAACTGAACCATTTTCAGATTTACATCTTTATTTAATATCCCCTTTCTCCACATTGATACTGCATTTCTAATTTCAAACAACCACTAAATAAACATTAATAAAAAAATTTTAGTAATGTGAAAACTTTGTTTACATAATCTGTGCTAGACTTTGCCCACAGTGATGTAAATTAGTGTTGTTGACAAATAAAGTAGTTTTGATAACTGACAATGTCATTATTATATAATATAAAACATATGAGGCACAGGACTGGACTTTGTGCTTCCCCATAAGTATTTTTCAGCAGTATCCATTTCCACATACTGATAACTATTTAGCCGTCATCTCTTACTCTAAACATTTTCTCTATAATATTAAATACTTTTTATAGATCAATGAAAATGTATTGAGTTTTATTGCTGTTTGATGCTCAGAAGTCTCCATAAAGTCCTCTGAACAGCACAGCTCCCTGGAGCCGCTTCAATTATAGTTCATTTAAAATAGGAGGTAACAACGTGGGAGTGTTTCCTTATTATTCGGTCTTCCATCTAATCTAAAACACCTGTTGTGACCTCACTGGATGACTTGTGGCCAGAAATGTTTGTAAGTGAGGATCAGCAGTTTTCTGCCTTTGTGAAGTCATTTTTTCCCACAATATTGTTTATGTGGTGAGACACAGAAAAACACATACAGATCCAAAGAATAAATTCGAGCAAGTTGTGTGTTAGTGTTCCTGCATTGCTCTGTTGAACTACTTCTTTAAAATAATGAAAGTTAATTTTATAAGGTAAACATTGAGCTATGAATTATTAAAGTCTGGCCTGTGCATGCGTCTCGTGTCATTGTTTTGATCACAACAATAGTACTTCTTTGTTTCCCCTATCAGTCTGTTACTGCTGTCCGTATTTCCGTAAAACACTCACGCATACTTGTGGTCATGTGGTTAATGGGGGTGTTTCATTTTCAGATTCACTGCTCTTCCAGCCAGGTGAGCAGGACAATAAAATGTCAGCTCAAAAATAGGTTGGGATTAAAGATGATAAATCAGTTGCCAAGTGATTTATCCAGGCTACCTTTGACCTCCCACAAGATGATAAAGGTAGTGAAGAGTCATAGTTGCAGCAGAGAGGAGTGTTTCCTAACAGTGAGTGCCAGGAGGGGTGGAGCTACAGTACCTTGCACAAGTTAAAGGAAGAAACTCAGCTGTTTGTTCAGAGGGGAGGAGCGGAGAGACGAAGAAAGCAAGTTAGTCTTAGACTTCATGCGCTCCGTGGAAAAGTAGAGAAGAATCAGCTGCTTCCTCTGAAACCAGAAGAGAAATGAAGTAAAAGTTAGAAGCTGTGGAGGGGGGCAGGCATTTCTCAGAATAGTCAGGGTGAGGTATTAGCTGAAAGGTGAACTTTGGCCTGTGACAAATCACTACCTGACGTACGAGGAGAATACCTCCCAGGTAAGGTCTTTGAGGTCCAGAATTTCAGGCAGGTTTCTGGGCAACACTGGTCGGACTGTTTTCATGCTTTTGATATTTACAGAGCTTTAAAGTCAAATAGTACCATGACCTAAAGTTTGTGTCTAAACAACAGTGTGTCGCTGCAGCTGCTGATTGTATCTGTTCAGTGTTTCTCATTGAATTTCTGTATGTGGTGGTGACAGGGGAAGTGGCTCTCTGTGTGACCGTTCGACCAACCTGTGCTTTCTTTTATAAATTAATGAATAATAGTTTATATTGTTTGTGACAGTTATTAATTAGATGCATCTTTGATTTCTCAGCTCGTAGACAGACTTCAGATCCACCATCTTGGTCTGCGGGTAGCATTGTTTTGTGTTGTTTTGTTAATGACCTCAGCGCACATGAGCCAGTTCTCCACTTGATGCTGGTTGTGGTTGGGATAGGCAGCAAGGACAACTAATACAGTTACCAGCTGCAGTTTAAGGTGATGAAGATGGAGCCCTTCCGAATACATATTATACCTGGGAACCACAGGCATTTAAAGTCTGTGTGTGTAAAAAGTAATTGGTG